AAAAAAAAAAAAAAAAAAAAAAAAAAAAAAAAAAAAAAAAAAAAAAAAAAAAAAATGATAAAAGTCTAATGAAAGTAAACAATACATCGCGTGCTGTAATAATATTTGGGACACGGGGATGATAAAACAGCTAAAAATTAATCCGATTTAAATGGCAGCCCATAATGTAAGTGAAAGAAGCCTCTACATGTATAAATATAAAGCTGACTGGCTGTTAAAAATAGCTACATGTCTGATTGAAAGTGTGTACCTTATATTGTATTGTCTTCCACAGGTTTCGCTTTTAAAAAGACACAAAAAATAGTGTCAAAAGTTTGTTTCTTTATCGTTTTGAGAGCGATAAGGTTGAATAAAAATATCGATCGGAAAAATTATGAAAGTACCGCGCTTGGTATAGTTAATTATCGTTATGTACACGGTACGTGGGCTTACCTTCTCCCATATCTTTTGGTGTGTTTGAAGAAAGCGATGACATGCAAGGAGACTGATACAAATTCGGTCTTGTTACTGATGATGGTGGTAGAGTAGCGATTTTGGACCTGTTAAACACAAGACAAGACACACAGATTGATCAGAATTTCGTTGACAGGCAATACACTTTGACAAAGCGTTTCACGCTTACACACCTCTGCTTACGAATTTTTTGGTTTCGTCCGTCAAACGGCGTGGGTGTGCCTCCACCAGAAGCGTTTGAAGAATAAGACGGTGGTCGGTACGGTCGAGGACACCCTTGAATAACAGGTGGCGATGGTACAGGTGCGTACTGCACTCTATGGTTGCCTGGCACTCCAGCGTGCATAAGTCTCATATCTCCTGCAACAAATATGATTTTGTCCAATTTTTAACGTAGATTAGAATACAAAGTAGAATAGTTTCGAAAATTTTCATCACACCTTGTACGATATGGACACCCTGATACATTGGCAGTGGGTAACGTGGTGGAGGTTGTGCGCTTCTATCACCGCCTCCGCCTCCAAAAATTTCGTGCGCAGGTGTCGGAGATCTGCTAGCTCTTTGAGAACTGCCTGGCGTCGACGTGCGAACTCCCGATACGAGCTGACGGTGCAAAAATGTTTTTTTTTTAATTTTGTGCCGACATGCACGGCATATCAGTGGTAAAACTGGCTACTGACGGGTACGTTTTGCCTGAAGACGAGATTAGGAACAATAGCGGGAGCCATATATGTGCCAGGTGGAGACGTTCCATTAGGACCTGGGACTTGGGGACCAAATGTTCCTGCTGACATCATTGCTGGGGGTGGATAGGTGCCAGAATTCACGTACATCAAGGGCATACCAGGAATCTGCGAGAATATTTTAGTTTATATACGTGCGTTTAGATAAGAGTGGAAAAACTTTTTCTCTCACGAATACCGACTTGATTCGAAGTTGGAGTATTCGGTGGTGTAGGCACTCTGTACATGACTGGGGAAGGCTGGATACCTGATTGGCCGGGGTAATAAGCAGGAACCATTTGAACAGGTGGCGGGCACGAGTATTCACCCGGATTGGGTGTTACAGTTGGCATAGAATTATAAGCAAGTGGGTAACTACTTATATAATTTGCTGTAATTCAAACATACAATACAACCGTCAATATTTTCAATTTCATAATAAAAAAAAAATTAAATGATTAATATCTAATTTACCGTTCGTTTGACTAGGCGGTGTCATCGCTTGCAAATTGGCAGAATAGTTTGCATTAAACCTCTGCTGTTGTGACAGCGGCTGTCTATCATTTGGGTTTGGATTAACAGGTATCGCAGTTCCCGTTGGAGACACGAAATACATAGCTTGCTGATGCTACAAACACGTACAAGTAAATTAGAATACACGTGCACAGTAAGCGATTAAAGCAGTATTTTTTTTATATATAAAATGAATAAGATACCGGCATTGGATTTGCAGTCGTCTGCCAATAATTCGGTTGAATTGGTTGAACATTGGGTAATGTTTGGTTCGTCGTTGGTACATGTGGCTGTGGAAATGGGTGATTAGGTGCAACTGGATTCTCACCAACACCTCGTACGTCGTAAACACCCAATCCCATGAAGTAATTCGATAATTCGGTCACATCCTATAGGTAGAAACAAATTAACATATATAACCACTGCATAATGAAACTTTTAGATTTTTATGGTTTAATCAAACGAATGTTATCACTCGGTTTAACATTTTGCAACGTCTTAGCAAACTCGGGACAGAGCGCTCTCAATATATAGCTTGACACCAATATATATATATATATATATATAAAATCACACGTTACACGTACCCACAGCTGCATCGAGGGGGTGCGATACGGCAATTTGATGCGACAACTTGGCGCCCCTTCTTTCGTTCCGTTATTGGTGCACCCTATACTCACCGACGCGCACAATACCAATAACCGCTTTTGTCTTTGTTTCGCCGATTGCGTCCAAGAGACGTAGTAAATTAATTGCTCGGATAGTTGTTTTTTTGTTTTTTTTGTTTTTTTTGTTTTTTTTTCCTCGAGTAAGCGTATCTTTAATACACTGGTACAACATGATTGAACAAAATTCACAGATCGGCACAAAAATTAGCCTCGAGGTGTGTACGGGTAATCCAAAGCGGAAGAATATCTGCGATCCGCGACCTTCGGCTCAAGCGAGGGAGATAATGATCCGAGCGCGCGAGCCTATTGTACCCGTGTCCAAATAAACACACCATCCGCGCGAGCCCTCATTATTATAATGAAACGCAAAGAGGGAGAGGAGACTGAGACGAGCCCGGGAGGTGGGTGAATTAATTTATAATTGAGGAGTTTGAGGATAAAATGGCCTCGGCGACGCGCCTCTTTCCTCCGCACATATTGTTACATTCCTTCTCCTCATATATAAATATACGATATCTTGGTTCGCGTATAGTATACGGTGGGTTTTCCGTGTTACATTGTATACTTTGACGTGTGGGTACACACAGAACATTGGCCTTTGATGGTGACTTTTCGAATCACCTTAAACTCGCTACACATAAATACTTACGTGTATCCACATTGTGAACAATATTATATTAGTTGGACGTTGCCTACGCGTGTATCCATGTAGAGGGACCATTTTTATCTCAACTCTCATACACGCGGCTTTGATCGCGTACATAATAGTACCTAGATATAATTACCTATGCCTGCCTCCTCGTAATTCGGTTGTTGAAACAAATACATCTCGAAGGCCAAGACTGAAAGATCGTTAAAAAGATGAGCCGAGTACCCGCACCCTTCATCCATATATATATATACCTACTCGTGTAATTGACGTAACGGCCACTAATGCTTGCACAACAGGTAAACGTACACATATACATATATTGTATACACGCGAAATGTTGACCGAGCTCTAATAAAAGCACTCACCGCCTCTCTCATGTACGTAGTATGAGCATAACGGTACATATAATTATACACCTATATGCGATACACTTACGGGGAGGGTGTGATTTTTTGTTTTCACGAGTATAAGAGTCTATGGGAGCCCAGTGGCCGTGTCGTTAGAAACGCAAAGCGAAAAAAGTTCTTACTTGATCGCGCGATGAAATGTTTTATCCGTACGCGTGTATTGTATATAGGAAAATCGATGTCCATGACGAACGATGCGTGTTTTTACTTGTACGTATATATACTTGCGGGACCCCAAGTGCATGGAACGCATTACGTCGATGATTAATGAGATGCGACGAAGCGCGTCTTTGGCCGGTACTTGCGCAATGAGCAGTGCTAGATGAGGAGAAAAAAAAAAAAAAAAAAAAAAAACGAACCCAGTGAAAAAGCCAGTAGTACGCCTATAAAGTGGGTAGGTAGCGGCTCTTGAAAGAGAAAAAAAAAAAAAAAAAGAAACGGGGAATGAAGAAGAAGAAGAAGAAGAAGTCGCGGATGAGGTAAGCAAGAGCTTCCGGGTTGATGTAGGTGGTAATAAAGCTCAGCCGCTGTACATAATACGCGGTACGTAGATAGAGAGAGAGAAACACAAGCAGCCGTGACGGGAAAAAGAGTACGCATACCTGTAACTTGTAGGCTTCCTATATCGTGTATATACATATATTATATTATACACACTTACTTGTTATACGCTAAGGAAGAGAGGGAGAAAAAGGTACGATGGGGTATAGAAAAGAGAGAAAAAATGAGGTAGCTCGCTCTGTTTTTCTTGTGTACAGCACACCAACGGGGAAGTAGCGAGGGTGTAAGTATGTACTACTTATAATGTATACCTGCATAAATAATATAAAGGGGTAATGTACGTATGTCATAATACACAATATATATGGAGCAGGCAATGACCTTCCCCCGTATCCCATATATATATAGGTATTACGTATACGAGGGAATGCGCAAGTGTATGTAGGTAGATATGGTACTTGTAATAATATATGATTCAACGTTATAGTGTAGAAACGTGTGTCGCTCAGCCGACCTCGGCAAGGATGCCTCTGAAGCGCGCTCCTCTTCCCTCTTTGTGTCACATTTTCGTGTTCTTCTCCCTCGCGTCGCAGCTGAGCTTTTCTTTTTTCCCACCCTCGTACAGAACTTTTTTTTTTTTCTACAATCACTGCGCAAGTAGATGTATATACATACATACCAATGCACTCAATGTATATATACAGCATCTAATAAAAAATCTGCATCTGCAGGCACATTTTTCACAGAGCAGCCTGTTTATCTATATGTACGTAATTACACGGCGCGACCGTGACCGTGACATTATACCTGTACCCCTCGGTACGGAGGGATGATAGCTCGGGCACGAGTGTAACCATCAGATGTACTTATATGTACAGATAGATAGAATATATACAGTGGGGGGGGAGGGGGGTTACAGCATGACCTCATGCAGCGATCTTTTGATTGATTATTATATACACGTATACGTGTATACATCACTTGCAACTTGCGCGGGGTAAGCGGATCCTTGTAGGGTATGTATGTGTGTAGGTGTGCAGCCGCAGTCTTTATATAGATTGCTGTAACTATATCTGTACCGCCTTCGGTGGAATGCAATTTCCGCGAGTTGATTGCGCTCTCTTCTGCTTCTTCCTTCTCTGCGCTGTACTGTATGGATATATACGTATATAGCTCCCTATCCTCGCTATTCGATATCTTATGTATATATCTCATACTGGTGCTTTTGATTTTTTCTTAAACAAAACACAACGTTTTTCCCATTGATACTGCTTCTATATGTATAGGTACTGCTGTTTCTTCTTTTATTTGCGCGTGTTAAAATGATTGTACACACAGAGCCACTTGTGTTTATCGACCGAAAATAATTATCCACACGCTCCTTTGTAAATACCTATGGTCGTTGTTATTTAAAAAAAAAAAGAAAGATAATCATTTTTATTTGATTTTGTTACGGTACACTACAATGTAAACTTATAAGGTACAAACCTACACACCCCGATGCAGCCTGATGTACATGGGGCCGTTATACAGTATATAAACTTATCGAGCAGATAATACGTCATTTACACAATTGATTCTCGGTATACTCATGTATCCCAATAACTTGGTGATTTTGCGTTTCTTCGAAACCACTAGGGTGAAGATAATATTTATATACCTTGGACTTAACATGGGTACAATCAATGCGGTAGATCGACCAACAGAAGCAAACAAAGATGATGGTGATTGGAAAAAAAAAAAAAAAAAAGTAGGGTCTAGTACCTATACGTAAGCACTTATCCATCGTTGAAGATAACACATCAGGAGAGCAGAGTATACAAACCAACACATATAAGGTATAGGTATTAAAAATACCCATAGCAACGATATACCCGTACCCCTGGGAACAGTGGGAATTACTGGCTACAAGCTTAATATAAAGGCAAGGGCTTAGAAGAAGCAGACTCTCGTCCTCATCGCGTATACTCTATTCCGGCTGAATGGGGAAGAAGAAGGAAAAAAAAAAAAAAATTTCCCGAGCCTCTAATTGCCAATCGCGTTCATTAGCCGTGTACTTCCGATTCTTCGGTTAATGGCGATCGTTTCGTGGTACTGCAAAGACGGGCCCTTGCATGCACACCGCATATTACATATATATGTACATAGCTTGGCTACAATACAATTCTTATACACGTATACACACGTGTGCGCATCAATATGACCCTTCCTCCTCGCGTGGCACCTCAGTGAATCTCTATAATATATACGGCGCACACGTATGTGGGCATAGGTATAAAAGGTGCAATCTTCATCTCTGTACTTTGCGATACTATCTGACTCCTGTCGTTAAAATCAGGAAGCAGCGGTGTGTCTCCGTGGGACTCGTGCGCCCTTTTTAATCGCGTAAAAAAAAAAAAAAAAAAAAAAAAAAAAAAAAAAAAAAAAAAAAAAAAAAAAAANAAGCCGCGTAGGGCTGCATCGGCATCGTCCTGACTAGAGGTTGCTGCGGCTGCTGAACCGCGTTATGTTGCTGCTGCGGCTGAACTACAGCGGGAGGCAGTGGCGGCGGCAATGGTGGCGGTACGGGCGGTGCGGGCGGTGGAGTGTACGGCAGGCTCGGTGACGTGGCCGAATTCGTCACGTGCATCGTGCTCGCCGGCTGTGGTGAAACCGGGGCTGGTTGCTGCTGCTGTTGCTGCTGCTGCTGCTGCTGCTGCTGCTGCTGATGCTGATGCTGTTGTCGGTGTGGCGATACCATCGTCGAACCCGGCGTAACCGTCGTCGCTATCGGACTCGAACAATGAATGTTGTTGCTGTTCGGGCTGTTGTGCTTATTCGTTGTCGTCTGAGACCGCCGCAGCTTTCTGCTGCCTTCGTGCTTGCCAGTCGTTCGATGAGGCTCCGACTGTTCCGTCTGTTTTGAGCCTGTATCGATACGGGTGATGGTAGTGATAGTAATCATCCGGTTAATTAGCCAGATAAGACAATGGAATTTTTAAACTAAAAAAAAAAACGAGCGTGTCATACATACTTTCATGCCCCTCCAAATCTTCGTTGAACAGATTCGGCAGGTTGTCGGGGTCGAAGTAATACGTCGATCCGTCGGGATTGGTGAGCGGCTGGCTCGTCTGAGGGTTTATAATAATACTACCACGTGGTACGCTCGAGAGATTGGTAACCGCCCATATGACCTTTTGGACGTTTGGCTCGGGCGACGGAGCATCCTGACTAGAAACTGATTGGGAGTGGTGGCACGTCAACGCGGGAATCGGCGACGGCGAGGGCGACGGTGAGATCGTCGCGTCGCTTCTTTGGCTCTGTGACTTGTATCCGCTGCTCGACGGACTTAATCGTGAACACATGCTGGCCCCCGAGTCTTCGACGGAAGCCGCTAAAAATTAATATTACCGGTGACGTGTTATCCATTGAAACGATGAGTATGAGCCGCGATTACTTGTACCTTGCTTCATCAGGCGAGCACCGGCACTGTGAGTGGACATGACGCTGTCACCTCGGGACAATCCTCCTCGGCCGGTGTAGCCACCAAAGCTGTACGACTTTGAGACAGAAGGCCGCTGATTATTCGTACGAGTGCAGGTCTCTTGGAGCGAATCGACCTTTAGCAGCCTCATCTGCCTAGAGTTGTAGTTAATTGTTAATTATGATTGTTCTGCGTGTGATTTTATACATATAGAAAATAAGAGTAATAATAATTATTATTATAATAGTAAAAGTGACTGGTGACCTCGAGTTCTGGTCCGAGGGATGCAGCAGGCGCTTGGCCGAATTATCGGAGCTCTCGGACGAGGACCAGTAAGAAGGCCAAGAGGTGACCTCGCTGCTGTCACCACTGCTGCGCATCTCGTTGCTGATGCGCTTTTCATCCCGGAATATCCTTTTGCGCGCCATGTGGTACTCGGCCTCGCGCTCCTCGAAGCTCTTGCTCCGCCTATTGCCGCAAAAATCGTCGAGTCTGTCGGGCGACTTGTAATGACTGTGGTCCTCGAACGAGTTCGTCTCGCGCTTGAGTATGCTCTTTTGGCGCGCCACCGAGGCCTCGTCCGAGGACTTGCCATTGTTGTCAACAACAAAGTGAAGCAAGTCGTCGCGTATGTGCTCCTTGAAGCGCACGTCGGGTATGCGCATGTGCTTGGTCCGCGTGACGATGACGCACTGGCCCGTCTGGTCGACGTTGTGCTCCATGCCGAAGTAGGCGGCCACCCGATGCACGAGCATGCGATTGTACGAGGACATAGAGATAAACCGATGCGACGCTTTGTGCTTGTCTTTGGCAAAGTCTATCAGCTCCCGCTCGATTTTTAGCAGGTGCTGGCGGTCCTTTTGGTTGCGGTTTATCGTCTCGGCGATGAATAGCTCGAGATCCGTGCCCGTGCTATCCGTGTACAACTCCGTGCTGTTGTCTATAGCGAAAAAGTTCAATGATGATCACAACAATGACAAATAAAAATGTACACTAATATGTATTACATGCTGGTCACTGACCTCTCGAGAGCGAGGGCGAGGCGCTTTCGTAGCTACCCTGACTAGATGAATTTTGATGCCTAAGCTTGTGCCTATTGTTATTGTTGTTGTTGTTATTGTTGTTGTTGTTGTTGTTGTTGTTGTTGTTGTTGTTGTTGTTGTTGTTGTTACTATTGTTGGACCGTCCGACCGAGAGCGTATTGGGACACTGATTCATGCTCTGGTTGTTGTTGCCACTAAAAACGTTGAGGCTGTTTGGCCTGCGCTGCTCGTTGTTGTTGCTGTTTTTGTGATTGTTTAGCGCATGATTTTTACTACTCTGGCTCCGCAACGGGGAGACCGGAGTCTGCAGCAGCACCGGCCTGTCGTGCTGCTGATGCCCATTTTTCATACAATTGTTGCACTTGTTCGACGATATGCTGTTGCTCTGGTGCTTGTTGTTGTTGTTGTTGTTGTTATTATTATTGTTGTTGTTATTATTGTTGTTGTTGTTACGATGACCCTCAAACTTGCCATTGACGGGAGAAACGGGATTGTTCTTTTGATGCATATGGGAAGGACTGGAGGAGCCTGCAAAGAAAACCTGTTTTTTTTTTTGCCCGTTCCATACTATAAACGGGAGTCGGTTTTAAACGTACCATTACGAGAGGAGGTTCGACAAGTGGGCGAGGTCGCGCTGTTGCGCATCTGCTTGGGCGACTGATGGCTAGCCGCGGCGAGATTGCTGCTGCTGCTGTAGTAGATGGGCTCGTTGTTGTTCAACTGGTGCTTGCCGGTAGTGGTGGTGGTAGTAGTAACAGTAGTGGCAGCGACGGACAAGTTGGGCGACAGCCTGGTTTTACCGGATTGGGAGGTATGGTGATGCTGGGACGGTTGATTGCTGGGACTGCCGGGATGACTGAGGCTCACGGGAGCGAGTTCGCACTCGAGCGACGACGAGGATGACTGGTGATGGTGTTGGTGGTGCTGGGGAGTATTGTGGACGGCGGAGGGGCTCGCCGAGCCGCCGTTCTGGGGCTCCCTCGGTGGCGACGTCGATTCTCTCATGGCATGGCTTCGAACCAGCAGCTTGACCTTGTTGGAGCCCGAGGCACGATTGTTGTAATTTTTGTTGCCACTGGCTCCGTCGAGCCGATGCAAGTCGTCAGCGGTGTCGGTGGTGGACTCGCTAGGAGAGGAGGTTCGATGTTGCTGGCTTTGATTACCGGCATTGGGCTCTAGCATGTCCGGGGTGGTCAACGACGACGACGACGACAACTCGGATGGGCTGGTCGAGCCGGCGTCGCCGAGGCCCTGCTGTTGCCTAATGGCTGCCGCCGCCGATGGGACCGAGGGCATTCCACCTTCGCGGACCACCGAGGGACTCTCGGACCTGCCACCCTTATGGACCACTATGCTGGGTACTGTGGAAACAAACGAATAATCTTTAGGTATACGTTTAAGCGCGAAAAAGAAGAAAGAAAAATCTTTCTCGTTTTCTTTTTTTTTTTTTCTTTTCATTTTCATTTTCTATTTTTCACCTTCCCAGCAGAGCTGCGGTAAAAATAGAAATCCGGTTTTCCAGCTCGGCATAGAGTGCCATTAATGAAGCCCGTGAGAGGAAAATTATCGCAAGGAAGAAAGAAAGAGAGAGAGAGCTTGTGACAAATATTTCTGATAAATACTTGTGCAAACACCACCACCAAAAGTTTCATATACCAGTGCGCACAATCAGTGACTGATAGCTATTATTATATTACATTAAAAACGGTATAAGTGCACAGCGTCACCTGACGACAAAAGTCTTGTTTCCCATCCCCCGCGACGCACAGGTGTTTGTCACCGTCGAACTGTTCGCTTCACAAAAGAGGTGGATATGACTTTTCGAATCCGTATTGCCAATCAACCGATTGAAAAACGTCCAAACGAATCTATAACTTTAAATCATACAGTACACACGTACTACTTTTTCACGGGATGGCTTGATAGCCGTGGCATATGGAGTATACGCGGGGATTAGCGAAAAGAAGAGAAAACGTCATTTATGTGGAGTCGTTTAATCGCGAGTACTACATCAGCTTCGGGAAAAAGTAGGAAAAAAAAGAAAAAAGAAACTTACTTTCCAGGCGGGCCATGTGTTAAGTGTAGCATGGGTGCAACGATTGATCTCGCGAGCGAGGAACTGTTGGTGAAGATTAGCGACGTGATTTATGCACCGCTGCCAGTGGATGTATTATTATTCTTATTCTTATTTTTAAGCCAAGAGCTGTCTAATGGTGATCGAATTTGGTAGCACGAATCTGATGGTGCGTCGCTGCCACCGCAGGTGTTCCCGACGATGAGCACAGCATCATCGTTTGCCCTGTCTCTCGCTCTGTATACCTGTCTCTGCAAGCAAAAACGGAGACACAAATTTTCATTTTCCATTCCAGCTTTCAGTACATTTACATATACACGCGGTTATTTGGTATTCCTGATTTTTGTAATGCATTTATGTGCGTGGGGCGGAGGGGGTGTATAGTTGAGTTGCAAGGTAAATCAAGTAGGTACTTTCCGATACTCGGTGGTGAGTTTATACCTGTTGAGGTTACCACGAAGACAAAAAAAAAGTTTCGATCACTGCACGTGTCGTTAATCTCACAACTGTTGGTGCACGAAGGCAAATACATTATTTCCGAATGTTCCATACACCACAACTATTTGTTTTGTCTCCATACACTATATTATCAAACATAAGCACAGACACAATGTATAAATGTAAGTACGCAACTTTTGCATCACTTGCACCTTCTCAAATTCCTTTGGAGCCCCCTTTCAAATCACCGCGCTTTGATGTGTATACGTATTACGTAATGAAAAATAAAATACATATGTATACCTACGATGTCTCCGTACATCCACTACAAAACTCGTCTATATGTATATATAAATGCACGAGGGTAGTACTATCCTGTACGTGTGTATAGCCAGTATCATCTCCAGCGAAAGATCGTCTTGCGATCGCGGATCAGCTGACGGGCGACGCGGTAAGAGAAGGACGAGGAGTAGGAGGGAAAACCGAGCTGTCGACCGGTATTACGTCCGAGGGTCCGCTGCCGTTGGCACCGCGTCATCTGTGCGACACGCGCGCATGTATATGTATATATGTATATATATTTGTCCACAGGCGTTGCACGGCTGGTGTATATACCCCCTATACAATATACGTTGTACCGCGTCGTCGAGGTCGAAAGTTTGATTCACAAGTACACCGCGCGAACGCCCCCACCCACCCAGCCGCACAGCTGCAGGTGTGTATACGTGTATATATGGACTCGGGGAGGCGAGCCAATATACAGTTGCGGCTCGGGTTCGCGGGAGAGACTGGAAATAAAAGCGTTCTCCCGCTCGCGAACGCGTCCTACGATAGTCGGGGCGCAAGCGCGCCGGCCTTTGCTCTCTCCTCCGCGATCCATCCACCCTCTCTCTGCCTCGCGTCGCCCTCTCTCTTTTTCCGCGTGCGTGCCATTTGTACGTTCAACGGGTGTTTCTTTGTTCGCCCCTATTTTTTTTTTTTTTGTTTTTCCCTGAGAAAAATACACACGTCGGGAAATTGTACATAGCGCGTCTGTGTGTATACATGTACACCTATATATATGTACGTAGTTTTCGTTTCAACTGTAGGGGTTACCAAAAGGGCCATTTCTCACCGTTCGACACTGAACTATCTCTTTCCGGCCAAAGAAAGAGGGATCCGGGGGGGGGGAGAATGAGCGGTTTCTCGATGGGGCGGAATCAGTGATTCTCTCGGTTGTGTTTTGTCCGTCCATGCACGTGTGCCAGCTCTAAGCGTCACTCGTACATTTACATATACATATATAATATGTGTAGCTTTAATGGGGATGCTCGATTGCTCTTCGTTTAGTTCATGCAAGTGGATTAGGTGGAAATGTGTGTTGTCGGGACACATCCGAGATCTGCTTTTCATGCTCGGTCATTTCAACCATACGTATATTATGCATTATACCTGTGGGCGTTTTTTTGCTCGAGGCATTAAATAAAAAGGCACCGAAGAGTTTCGTATACAAATAAAATCGTGCCTTTTTTTGTGCTCATTCAATTTTCATTTCCAAGTACCAGTATCTTTTCAGGACTGTACTGTTACTATTAACATCCTCGTCATCATGATTATTTACGATATGATGGAGTAATAACCACCCGCCAGCCTTGGTATGCCCAAGTACCATTACATCATCAAAGTGTATATATGTGTGTGGTTTCAGGTTTTATGATGATTCATTCATTTACGCGTTTAATACTATACCTGCCTATAAAAAAAAAAAAAAAATCGGTTTCATCGGCCCCGAGAGTTGATACTCTATTTCGTGTAATAAAAGACTCACCTACGCTCCCGGGAAGGGCATTGTTTTATCATCCGTACAACTACCGTACATTTTTTATACCAAATGATACTCAAGTGTATATATATGGATAAAAAAAAAAAAAGGTTACAACACTATGAAGTTTCTCATAAAGCCACTACATAAAAGTATCGAGTTGAAAATCATCGTAGCGAAAAATGAACCTGTACATAAATTCTCAGCAGAGGGCAACTTTATGAGGCGCGATTTAAGGATAAAAATTATCGCGACTCTCGTGCTGCTCGTGTAAAGCGGAGGAGAGTAATCCCGGGCAAACGAGATGACGGAGAGAAGGAGAAATTTCGTGTAAAAGTACAAGTGTATATATACACTTGGGGCCCGTACACGAGCTCCTTGCGTTGCAAAATACTCTCACGTACCCTACCTACCTACATACGTGCACGGCAAGAGGCTGCAGCTGCTACTGCCGTTGACATGCCTCCCTCCCCCTCTACGCCCGTGCCACCCCCTCCCCCCAGTCCTCTCCCGAGATAGATCAATAAACATATCCCGCACACGCGTTCGCTCGGCTGTATAGGTATATTATTTATACAACGGTCGAGAGGAGCGTGCACAAATTTCGGTATATATATGTGTGTAGCATCACACACCGCCATCGCCGTTCATTGTGCCGATGGAGAATTTTACCCCGAGGAAACACTACGATAATCTTACCCTTCGGTAAAGCACAATAACACACGCGAAGCTGGGATTTCCAATGTTGAGATTGATAATCACACCCAGAGGTGGGGTACAACCTCTCCTCCTCCAACAACCTTTCGCGATTGCGCAACTTCTGTATACCTATACGCGTCAGAGGTATATACACGTATTATGTATGCACGTATCGGGGTGTACTCGTGTACGTGCAACGGGAAGAAACTGCGAGCGCATCCTCGAGGTGATTGGTAATTTTTATTTCGTCAATTTGTTGCTACTCTTTTTCAACAAATGCCTATATTTGTACTGTACAAACAGAAATAATGTGTCATCAACTAATGTGCGTGGTGACTATGACCCATATGGAACCCCCCGCTTTTCTTTGTTTGAGAGGAAATTCAGGCAAGTTTGAAGGTACAGGGACACTTTGGTCTTGCACACCCGTGTTGTTGTTTTTTTTTTTTTTTTTTTTTTTTCCTTACTCGGTGTTACGATGTTCCAACTTTTTCGTTGGGACAATGAAAGAAAAGGTACCGTATGTAACGCAACGAAATACTTTTGTTCCATTTTAATATCCTATAGTTACAATTGAAAACAAAAATTTAAAAGACAGATATGGGCGAATAAATAATTCATGCGAGTGTGAAAAGAAAAAAAGAGCGTAGCTCGCGATGCTACAGACGGGCTGTATGAATTTTATATGAAACAGAAAATTGATATTTGGTTGGTGAATCAGTGTAAAGATGGACTGCACCCTCGGGAGAAGAAAAGAAGTGGCCCTCTCGCGCTGTCGTCTCTTGAGAGATGGAAAAAGGAGAAAAAAAAAAAAAAAAATAGAAAATGGAGGGTGGTGACAACGCATCACCAACGCGGAAAGGTCCATCGCCGCGGAATGCACGCACAGCTGTGTACGTGGACACTCGCGCGAGGCGCTCTCTTGACGGTAAACGAACTTGAATCCCGCAGTTTCGCGCCGGTAATCGGCCCAAGGACCAATAGAGAGCGAGCTGGCATCGGCTTAAAAAAAAAAAAAAAAAGAGCACGTTCCTGGCACGGTGCACCGGGCCATCCGAGTCGAGAGTTCCTTCGCATTGCCAAGAGCAACTCTCGTCTCGCAAGATTCACCGAGAGCAAAAGAGATAATGCTCGATCGAGCCCCTAAAGGCTCTCCGGAGTCTTGGCTATCGTGACGACACCTGCCAACCTGTACCCTATACACACACCTACGACGGTATAAACATGTATACGTACGTGATATACAATCGAGGGAGGGAGGAAGGGATCCATTCCGAGGAAGGCACGTGCATTTATCCGATGGTGAGATTAAGTATATTGGGCCGTGACGTCGAACCGCCTCCGTCCGCGATGTCCTTTATGTAAATTAAAGATCAGCGCAGGCTTTGGTTCCCGATGTAACGATATATAATTCTTTGGAGTCAGTGCACATAAAACTCTCGACCCCATGAAAAGTACGGGGCGTGAATGTACCTCTTTCGAAATTGCTTAAAGAGATGAAGAAGAGCACGGCCAATGAAGCAGCAAATCGAGTGCGAAGAGAGAGCGGGAAAGAACAGAGAGTAATGGGTGAACAAAAAAGCGGAAGGAGACGTAAATAGAAAGTGACGGAAGGGGTGCATTTTTAGGGAGACTCTCTTTGCAGAGGAGGCGCAGTCGTGTATAGTTATGACCACCGTTAAAAGGGGGGATGGACATCGTGCAGGAGATGATACGCTATATTATGTGTCGTTGTACTTGAAGTTCTGCATATACACGTATACCTATTCAACGCGGTGTGGTTGTAAGCGGTGGCCACTCGCGGCGGGGTGTGGAAGGTGTAGGCCAGGGCTACACTCGGTATATGCGCACGAACGAGCGGACGAGCTGGCAAAGGGCATGCATTACGTTGTGTGCACGTGTATACACGTATACATAAAGTATAATGACACGCTCGACGCAGAGTCTCCGGTATAGGTGTGTATATACCTACGAAGGAAGAAGAGGAGGGAGATAGAGGCAGGCAGGTTGTGATGGTAAATATACATATATACACTGGCGTTAGCGATGCACCCTATAGTTGCCATGGTAACGACCTACTCTCCCTGGACGGACGCATCGCGGCTGCTGCGCCTCTACACCGATGCCTGGCGCCAGCTGCTGCCTCCTCCTCGCCGTCAAATTTGTTAAACACCCAATCAGGATGTACTTGAACCAATATATGCCCACCCATGCGTGGAAAACTTATTTACCGAGGCTTCTTTTATCCACACCCCCCCCCCCTGCCCTACGTATTCCTTTAGCCCATACACTTTGTTTTACTCTCGCCACCTT